GGAAACGAAGAGAATTTTCGGTGAGTGGTGCTAGATTCTTGTTTTCCCTACTTGTTTTTTGCAATCTTTCCTGACGCATCTTATGTATACGCGGTGAAGAGTGAAGACTTTATATAGAAATTAAGAAAGGAGATTCAGGTTGGTGCTGCTTTGGTCGGAATCCTGATTACGCCTTCTATTGAAGGGGCTTTCACCTCTAGTATGCATGTTTGGACGCCTTCTAGTCTGATTGTCATACATATCACTCAGGTTATCCCTCTTTTTACTCGAAAAAATGATTGGGCTTCCCCTGATTGAGTCTTGGTATATGAGTTTTATCCATCTCCAGGCAAGAAGGCGAGGAAAAAGTTGACCTTCATTCTTGAGATAGAAGAGGTTGAGGTCGAGAGACCTTTTCAATAGCGTCTTCGACTTAGAACTGATGGGAAGAGGGAACTTCTGCTCAGATGGACTCAAACCAGGTGTTGTTATCCCGTATTGGTTCGAGGATGGATAAAGAATTTCGGTATTCAGTTTTAATGAACAATACACTATTTTTTTTTGTCTTTTTTAGGAAATTCGACAAAAAGAGTTGGCCGAATTTTCTTATCCTACTCGTCAAACGTTAATTTTTATGAAATTTGGTGTTGCTGCTCATGGTCATGGAAAGGCTTTCTTAAATGAACATCTTCACCAAGAGAGGGATAAATTTAAAGAACGGGCCAAAGACCTTACAGTTGAGAAAATAGGTAATTAGATGAGGTTCGAGAGGCTTTTAATTCATTCCTGGCTATGGACTATGTTATAGAGCCTTTATAGTATCTTAACTCTTTGGTTGAAAAGGTGAACCTGCTTGTCTAGGAGGTAACTAAGAAAAACGAGGCTTTGGCTTCTATCTTGGTGTTCTCTCCCAAGGTGAGTTCCGCTCTAGCATAAGCAAATTAGTTCTTAGATCTTGACCAGAAAAAGATAGAGAAGATGAAGATGTCTTTGAAATATTCCAATTGCTTCTAGGCACTCTTAAAGGAAGGCCAGAGGAAGGTTGAGGATGACATTCATGTGATGCGCATAGAGAATCTAAAACTCTCTAAAGAGATGGGCAATTCTTTTCAAGAAGCAAAAAAGAAGCTTTTTATGTTGATAAGGATTCATTTGAGATTGCCTATAAGCAACTCGAATATTTTTATTCTACCGCGTCGGTTTCCCAAGATCATGTTCGTCTTAATCAAGTCATTGAGAACAAGAAGGTGATTTCTTTGAAGGACTAGTGTGTCCTTTTTTCCCACTGTACCTATGTCTGACATATGTGAAGATTTGACGTACTTGTCATTTAGTGTATATACACTTCAATTCATAATTTATTCATATGTTACCCAATTTGTGGCGTTGTTTCTATTCCCAAGTTCATTTCTATAGGACTCATCTTTATCTCAAAGTTTATTGGACGTCTCTGGGGACCTTATCCAGCCAAGGTTTGATACCCCTTACCATATCCCTAATTGAAAACATGGTTTGAGGTCAAGTTATTGGCAAAATCATCACACCCCTCTGAAGTGGCTAGCTATCGAGAGCAGGGTGAGCCAATTATTTACCATTTTTTTGCTTGATTTATTTGTATATGCGTTGGAATCATGGGGTTTTAATTCCTTTAGTCATGCGTCTGTGGCATTTAAGACAACACCCTTAAGTATTTGTTATGGGGCTTTAATCTCTTTGGTCGTACCCCAAACTCCTTTACCTTTCATAATCACCAAAGAAAAAGATAGTTTAGTGAAAAAAATTCTTCCTTTCTTTAATCAAATGATAATAATACATTATGATAATTTTATTTTAACAAAAGAATTTGAATTTAACATAACCAAGTGGCCATTCCATCTCTTGTTGGCCACGAGTTTCTTGGAAGTTGCTCTCGGCTTTATCTGGATCAGTTACTTTTGCACGTCTAACCAAGACGATGTGTTTTACTCGTGGTGGGTCGGATAGCCTGATCAAATATGCCACGTTGATTTTCATAGCCTTGTTCCCCGCCTTCCTTCTGTTCTTAATGCATGGTCTTGTAAATTCTATTTTCTCCAAAAAAAACTCTGCGCTTATCATCACCGGCTCATCCTGCATGTTGTGGTACTTCAGCTTAAGGTGGACCTTGGAAGCCACTGCGTCCAACATTGCTGCGAAGGGATGATCAAAGATGCATTTTTAAGCACTTCTTCAAGGGACTACAAGGATTTGAGAATCAATAATCTTGGTATTCATCCCTTTTTCTAAGGTGACCATCAGTTCGATGCATCTCCAAGGACGTGCTACATTACCGTTAAAAGCTTGTAGGTCAGATCCTTCGTAGGAACACAAATTTTCCTTCTTCAACCCCATCTTCTCGAATATATCCAAGTATATGATGTCACAGGAGTTTCTGCCATCAATTAGAAATGTGAAGACGTCGAAGTTGGCAACAATAGCCATTATCACCAAAGGAAAATTTTCATTAAAAATTCCCCTAATCTTTTTGATATCATAGAATATGAGAATCGGCCTTTCCAGACTCGCAACTAAAGTATTTCCTTCCTTCTTGCCGGTGATCATCAACTCAACAATCTTTCTCTATTGGACAATGACTTAAAGCACAAGAAGGGGTGAATTGTGGTCTTCAAAATTCATGATTTATTTTAACCTTTCTCGATTAAGGTCGTATTAGTAATTTTTTAGATGAGTAATTGCAATGGAAATAAAATACTAAAATTAAATTGCAGAAAATAAAAGAGAAGGGTTAGAAAGACTACACTAGAGATTTATACAGGCTTGGTCGAACATAGTCCTAGTCCTGTCTCTAAGAGGTCTTCTTAAGATTTTTACTACAAACTTTGAGCTTTTGAAGGTTATGCTTACGAACCTTTAATATAATTAGATCTTGATATTTTAACGAGCTTATCCCCAACTAAATGAGAGCTTTTAACCTAGGCTAAAATTGAATCGTTTAGAGATTTATGGCTAATCTCAATAACTAAAACAAAGATTTTTTCGGTAAAGCTTAATAAACCAAGAACATAGATTTTTTAAAGGTTGATCTCAAGAACCAAACTCAATCTCTTAAAGGTATCACACCCTTAAGAATATAAATGACCAACACGATGACTTACAAAAATATCTTCCTCACAAGTGAAGTTTCACTTACTAGTACTAAGGCAATTTGAAGTGAAAAAATAAATATTTTTCTTAAGATAAAAATATAAAAGAAATGTGAAAACGTTGGAAATTGGCATGGTTTTAATTGAAGGCGAGCCTCTCTTATATAGTAGTTGGAAAAACCAAGAAAAGAATAATCTGTGGGCCGAATTGATTATCTAATCAATTGAATAAAAACTCCAATTGATTAGATAACTCACTTACAATCGATTGGCTAGCCCAAATAGGAAGGTTTGGATATAGAGTCGTTAGAAGTCATTAATGTGTTGTCCTCATTGATTTTATAATCAATTAGCACCCTTTTAATCCATTAACTTAGTGCTCCACTTGATTGGCTGGTAAAAAAGTTTTGCCAATTGATTAACATATTTTTTCCAATCGATTAGATTGTTAAAAAATTATTTGGAGTTTTTTAATCACTTGGTTCTGGCTTAGAAAATTATTTTTAAGGTAGAAAAATATTTTGAAGTGTGTGAGTTACCTTAGTACTTTTAAGCTACTACCTTACTTTTATAATATTTGGCTCACTCAGATAAACGAACAAACATTACTTGGCGAGCTTTGACACCTTTCATCAGAGTAGCTTCAAGACTTTGCTAGATAATATTTGATTGTATAAACACTTGATCTTGAGTTCTCTTATTATACTTTAGTTATCATCAGGATTGAGAGTTGTTGCCTTGCGTTGTCGTCATAAAAACTCCAAATGCTATTCTTTGTAACCTGCAAGTACATAGATCCCCATGTTCTTGGAAGGGTTACTTGCCAGTAACCTGCAAGTACATAGATCCCCATGTTCTTGGAAGGGTTACTTGCCATTGGGGAGCCTCTCGTTATGGAAGCGATATATTGACGCTTCCCTTTGTTCCCTTTGTCTTCTCCAATTCTCACTTATTTGCATTTACTCCTGACCACGACCTCAAAGGTTTTCTTGGGAGATCCTTCCCATTGGGAGAGTCTTCTCCTGTACACGTCTACCTCCACCAGTCATAATATTTTCTTTATAGTCGATGCAGAATTGCACCATACTTTAGTCCTTAACTTTTCCCAAAACACATAGTTCGGTCTGAGGCCCTTCTCAAAGATCTAGCACTTCAGACTTTCATCAGAGTCTCCAACACAAATTATATTTTATTTGTCAATTTTTCTTCTTCTAAAATATATTTAAATTTATTTAATTAATTTTAATTTTTTTAGTATATTTTATTTATTTTAAAAAGTAATATATTAAAACTATTTTTATGAAAATATAAATGATTTTTTACATTGATGAAGTTGTAATTTAAACATAATATATATTGTATTATATTAATATTAAATTTATATCAAATATAAAAATAATAATATTGTTTTTTTAATAGGTGTGCACTAAAACATGATAATACTAATTTATCATATGAATATCCTTATTCAATTCTTTATCTTATTTCAATCATGAGCATGAAACATACACTAAATATTCTATACACAACAAAATTTTCATACTTAATTAAAAGTTTTAGTTTATTTTGGGTGATTCCATGATTCATTTTCTCCCGTGTCTCTTCAACGAGTGTGCATGATCAACAATATTAAAAGCTAGAACAATATCAAAAGAAACTGAGTCTAACCTTAAGTTATTAATTTTTGAATTAACAAACAAAAGGTAGAGCAATTTGAAGGAGATAATATAAAATAAATATGTAAAGCTCCATTCACACCCTTTTTTTCAGGTGAAAAAGCATTCCAACATCGTAAAGCAAAATTAAACGACATTTCTTTTCTATTAAAAATATATATAAAGAAAAGAAAAAGCTAAAAAATGCACAATTTTACAGATCGTTCGAATTAACTATAATTCCTCAGTCAACATCCTTTGACGCCGACACAGACAACGGAGAACTGGAATTTCTGCAAAACTCAGGACTTCCATCGTTGTCGTTTTCACTCTTCACCACAAAGTGCCCCAACTGATCCACATTGTTAACCAAATTCTCTTCACAAAGAAACTCATAGCTGAAAATCTTCTCCACCTCTCTCCCAAAATCATGGACGAAAACGTGAGTTTTTCCCACTTTCTTACTCCGAGCCAACACCCCCGCCGTGAAAATCGCCGACATTCTCCCCGGAGCCGCCGCGAAATACCCTCTTGGCCCATCTACAAGAATCACATCCCAAGAGATTTGGTAAATATGGTTCGGTAAATCGTTGATTCCGAGTTTACACTCCGAGAACAAGAGATTCTGTACGGGTTTACACTCACGTTTGGATTCTTGTCTCGCCTGAGAGAGAAGCTTAGGGTAGTCACTAACTTTAGTTGTGAACTGAACATCATAAGCTTCAATCCCCGGGTTGGACTGTTCGAATTTCGAGATCACGTATTCGTTTTCGTCAACGAAAACAGTGCGACCGTTGTGATTCAGTGCAGACCAGAGGAGTGACTCGTGGGTTAGACCGAAGATGAGGAAGTTTGGGTTAGGTGTGAGATGAAGAGTTGTTGCTATGGTGTTGATTTCTGTGATGGACATGGATTTGGTGGTGGAGTTTGAGAGGGAAGCGTAGTGGAGGAGGGCTTTGGTTACGGAGAGTGGGAGAGGGGAGGAGGCGGAGGATGCGGCGGAGTTGACGGCGGAGGTGGAGATGGTTGTGATGAGAGAGAGAATGAAGAGTGTGGTGAAGAAAGTGATGAGGAAGAAGGAGAGGCAGAGGCGGTGAGAGAGAAAGGATGGTGTTGGGGGTTGTTTGTGAAGAGAAGGGTGGAGGAGGATAAGTTTGGTATTTGAATTGTTCTTCATTGTTTGTTTTAGAGAGAGAGAGAGAGAGAGAGAGGTGTTATAACTGTGTGTGCTGTGGGTGAGTGTACATTAATGATAAAAATTTGAGGGTAGTTTGTAGGAGTAATAGTGTTCCGGCTAATAAGGGAATGGGGCCGGAGGTAGAGAGAGAGAGAGAGGAATCGCGGAGGAGATTAAGAAGGGGTCGCGTATCCAGGCAGAGGTCGTGGCTAATGTAAATACCGGGGACCACGTCTGTGGGTCCATTCAAGATGCTACACGTATACAAAATCTGCCTCCAATACTAAGGTTTATTTTTTATACTAAAAAATAAACATACATTATTGTGCTAACTTTTTTTCCTTATTCAAAGTTTAGAAAAATCTCTAACAAGGTATTTATTACAACTCTCTAACAATTTAAAAAATAATCTACTTAAAAAAACATTAAATACTCTATGTTATAGATCAATTTTCAGTCTGTTACCATTTAGCAGATCCTTGTATTTATTAAAGTATTAAACCACTAGCAAACCAATCGGGAATTCCACATTGTTATTATTTTTAATTATTTTTTTTCTTCAAATTATAGTAGTTGTTAAGTTACTTAAATATTTAGTAAATTGATAAAATTATAATTAAATATGAAATCATTATTAAAATTATTTGTTTTAAATAATAAAAATAGTAATTTAATTTTAAAAAAATATATTAGAGTTATTTTTTAAAAACTTTTTCTAAACCTCAAGAATGAAATAAAGAGAAAAGAGAGATACAAGAGACGGAAGGTGTATCAAGTCTATTTGAATTTTTAGCACATTTTTCTCCAATGAAAAGAGGAAAGTAGATAGAAGGTCTCATTGTCTTATTCCTCCTTAAGATAAGCCATCCCTCTTGGTAGAATGAAGAATGACTTCAATCCACGTGTAAAACTTGTCATTGAAACCAAAAGTTGCCAATACTTTTAAGAGAAAGTAATCAATTGTCTCAAACACGGGAAAAACTCATGCCCAGTACAATGACTAGCGAGTATGACAGAAAGAGAGAGAGACAGAGAGGTGGATCTTAGTAAGCTTGAGAAGAAGGAGAGGAAGCAGACGTGACCATCACAATACTACAAACCAGAAAGAAACCAAGACTGTCACAGATGGAAGAATAACTTGTTACATCACCAATTTTCCAGAAGACATTACTGAGAGGGAGCTGAAGAGAACCTTTCAACGTTGGGGGAATGTGGTAGATGTTTACATAGCTAAGAAAAGGAACAAACAAGGAAAGATATTCGGGTTTGTTAGATATGCGGACATTGAAGACGAGAAATGACTTGAGAATCAATTTGACGATATTTGGTTTGGTTCGTACAAGGGTAAACATCTCAAGGTTTCAAAGACAACATAAAAGACCTCTCTTTTGGATCCATACCAACAAAGAGGAGCCTTAGAAAATCCAAAAAACAGACTTCAAGAAGACGAGAAAAGTGGGAATCCATAACAATATCAGAAAGGACGAATTATCTTATGACTACGCAACCCGGAACAAAAAACCACGAAAGGCACACCAAGAGAATATGCAGACTAAACATCATGAAGAATACAAGGAATATCATCACAGAGATTCAAGCAAAAATAATGCAAGATTAATTTTAACGATCAATGAGGAAGAGATAGCTTGGGTCAAAGCAGGATTCATTGGGTTCGTTAGGAAGCCTGAGGAAATAAACTCAATACAACAGAGCATAGAATCAGAAGGTATCACAACGGTGAAGGTAATCCCAATGGGAGGTGAAAGAGTCTTACTTAAAGTAGACGAGAATGAAGACTTCAACAACCTAGTTAAGGAGTTTTCATAGCTCTTTCAGCAGGAATTCAGCGTACTGAGAAAATGGGAATCAAGATACGTTGGAGGCGCACAATAAGTCTCGATTCGAGTCCTGTGAATCCCTATCCACGCATGGAATAACAAGATTTTTTCGCTGTTAGCAACCTACTTCGACGTACTCATTAAAGTCGATCAAGCAACACATAATAGAGAAAGGCTTGACATAGCCAGATTTTACGTTGCACACCCATCATGGATTTCATCAACAAGACGACCAAAGTACAAATCAGCAAATAGATTTTCTCTATGAGGCTGTTAGATTTACATTCATTTATTCTTTAATATTTAATTGTTTTATGTTTATCAGTTTGTTATATAATGTCATATTCTTTAGGAAGCGGAATTAGTAAACGTGGAGTAGTTGCAACTGTGTTTCAGTTTTCAATTTGTAAGGCTATATAGCCAACAGTTTGCTTTTAATTAGATAAACAATTCTCTCCAAAACTTTATATCAGTGTTCAGTTTCAACAATTGGTATCAGAGCTCCATTATTAGAGCCTGATCCTTAGTGTGTGAGTGTAAGAGAAACACTGTGAGTGTGAGAAAACACAGTGAGTGTGAGAGAAACAGTGAACGTAGAAGAGAAACTCCCATTTTCTTTCAAGTAGAAGAATGGCAGAAAATGGTAACAGTAGTTTCACGCAACCCGCGATTCCCAAGTTTGATGGTCACTATGACCATTGGGAGATGTTGATGGAAAATTTTCTCCGTTCTAAAAAATATTGGGGTCTCATTGAGAATGGAATATTGGTCATGGCAGGTGGAGTATGTAACACCCATTTCTACCCCGCAATTATTATGGTAAAATAACACAGATATCAGAGTAAGTTATTAAATTCAATAAAAGCCACCACAAAAGGGCGTACATATCCCAAATCCTCAAAATAGGCCAAGGCTCCGTAAACAACGGGTTTTTCCAAAATACATCAAATTGAACTCAAAAGGAATAAATCAAGGTTTTCCTCATACGAGAAGATAATCAAAATAAACTCAAATAAAACATAGTTCAAATCAAAGACTTCAACCCGATGTTACACTATCAGAGCAAGACCATCTAAGTTAACTAAAAGGCTAACAACTCGAAACTTCAAAAGGACTCAACGGCATCCCCGGCTAAACCTGGTCATCTGCACGTTACCCACGTGGAGGCAACATTCAAACATGCAGGGTGAGTAAAACGATTCATAATAATTAATGTATGAAAATCAACATATAATATGGGTCATCTTCATATTCAACACATTCATATCCATCAATAGGCCTCAAAGGCCATAACATCATAAATTATTCCAAATGACTCATAAATGCAAGTGCAACAAGATTCAATGCATGTGGTACCAATCATCACATCACGATGGACACTGGGCCATCAACCTTCCATATATCCTCATCAATAGGATCGATTCTACTAGAGAACCGGAGCACATCAAACTACTTCACATCCACACAATAGGGTTGAAGTCAAAGTAATCGAGGTCTTGAACCGAAGTCCAGATACACATGAATGCATGATGCACACGTCACAAATCATCCTCATAATAACATCATAGGTGCATCATCATTCATCATAATCATCATCATACATCATGTTATCATAGCTCATCATAATAATCGTCATCATACATTATATCATCGTAGCTCATCATAATAATCATTATCATACATCAAGTCATCATAGCTCATCTTAATAATCATCATCATACATCATGTCATCATCATCATATACACATCACATAGAATTTACAGTCATACTCATGTTAATTCATCATATTATCACATGTTAATCACATAGAATTCATAATTATACTCATGGTAATCATCATATTATCACATATTAATCACATGAAATTCCCAGTTATACTCATGTTAATTCATCACAGAAATCACAGAATCAAACATCAAGGCATCGCTGCACGTAATCAACATTCGCGAAACTCTGTTACGTTCGCTGACATCTTCGCTAGGCGAGTCTGGGACGAGTTTCTTCGATGTGCGAAGGATTCTTCACTAGACGAGTCTGGGAACGAAATTGTTCATTGTGCGAAGCATTATTCACTAGGTGAACAACGCGATGGCAGCAAAACTCAGCTACGCACAGAACCTAAAATCAGTAAAAAAAGCCCCACGATTCACTTCCCAAATGTCCCCAAAACATCCCTAAATCATCCATAAGGTCTTACAGCGATAAATGCACAAAACCTACGGTTCATTAGGCCAATCCCGTGTCATATTCACGCCCTAAATCACAAATTTCCCTACAACTGCCCCAAAGGCATCAGAGTTACTCACTATCTAATATTCCTATCCCTTCAGGATTAGACAAATGTCGAATCAGAGCTTTGTCCATGAAGGCCTAACTTTCCTTTTTCCCAAATAAATCCCTACAGTCAAAATCACAATAGTAGGTTTAGGCCACGAAGGTCAAAAATCCCTTTTCCTCATAATCAATCCCAAAATCCCTTAAACCCTCAAATCGACCTTGAATACGTTGAATTTACACATGGAAAATCATGAAGGTAATACTCTCCGTACCTTAATTGTTGATCAAAGCCTTCTCAAATCTTTCAGGGAACCTTCCGAAGCTTTTGCCTCCAATCTTCCTCCTCAGAGCTCTGGCCTCAATTCTTTTCACGGTCTAACAAATGAATCCTAATCCCTTCACAATTTTGTTAAACTTAGTCTTGGGCCTCAAATTTGGGCTTTTCCCATAATACCCTTACTAACTCCTCTTAATTGTCCAAATTGCCCTTCTTTCACTTATATTTATTTTAACTAATAATAATATTAATATATTCATATTATATACTATTAATTAAATAACTAACCAAAAAATGCACAATTCCCAATAATCCACAAAACCACCGAAAATCACCGAAAAATGAATATTCTTATTTAAACAATTAAATAAATATTCCAATTAAAATTTGGGGTGTTACAGAGTACAACCGACAGAGATACAACACAAATTGATTGAAGAGCAGAAATTAAAGGACTTGAAGGCAAAAAATTACCTCTTTCAAGCAATACCTCGTGATGTGCTTGAAACAATCCTTAACAAAGATTCATCTAAGGGTATATGGGATTCAATGAAGCAGAAATTCTAGGGCTCAACCCGGGTTAAAAGGGCACAATTGCAAGCGTTAT